TAGATTTTGAATTCACTCAATAATCCTAATAAAATCCAAATTTTATTAAACATAAGTCGTCACCTTTGTCCCAAACTCATAATAAAAGATAAATAACAATATCACATGCATTTCAAATAGTGCTTGAAACCGCATCCTTTTGTATTCCGGAGCGATAAAAATCTCATTTTTAAATAAACAATAAGTTTTTTAATGTAAATTTAGGATTCTTCTATTGAATAATCATTAAAAATATGTAAAACCGATGTTGTACTTTTATTACATGCAACGAATATATATATTTTTAATTTTCTGCATAAAGTATACATTTTTATAAACGTTATACTTTATTTTGAAAATTTTTATGAGATTATGCGTAAATTCTTCCAATTATTTGAAATCCCTTAATATTATATTTTGATAAATAAATAATAAACATTAAAAAATTAATTTCTTTTTATTATTTTCTACTCTATATTATATTTTACTACATTGATATACTTATGTAGACACATCCAAGCATAACAAATATCATATTTAATAAATTTGTTATAATTTTCACAAAACAAATACAGAGTAAAAGTAATTTTGCAAAAACATTTGTTTTAAAAATAATTACTTCCTAATTAAATAAACAATATAAACAAATTAAATTGAAATGAATATTTAATAAGTTTAAAGTTAATTCTGTATTAATATAGGGCCTATATTTAAATATTAAATGAATATAAAACATATTTATATTTAATTAATTCTATATTATAAATTAATGTTTATATAATGTAATGTTATGTTTACTTTTTATAGATTAGTCTATATATAATGATTTTAATATATATGAGAATACAGAAATATTTTTATTAAGAACATATTCATATTCTTAATATAAAACATATTTCATAAATATTTTATGCAGTCCATAAAAGCTTTCAGATTATTTATAATTACAAATTTTATATTTGTATAATGTATGGTTTTTCTTTGAAATTGTGCGGATCCATATGTTTTTGATTTTTCCATTATATTTATAATATTTATTTTTGAGAAGTTTGTGAGGTGAAATAAAGAAATCTGAAGTAATTTAAATGTATATTCACAACAATCTTTATCCATAGCATCAAACATATTTCAAAAACAGAAGTTACTTAATAAACAACATTAGATAAAAGAGTAGTAATAAAAAAATAAATATCATATATTGAACCACTTAAAAAATACAGAAAAATTTTTGAAATTTATATAAATATAATATTGAGAATAGCATTGGATAGAGGAACCATATTTTACTTCTTGAATACAAACCATATATAAAAATACAGGAAATATAAAGTAATATATTTTATGTTTATAATTCAAAGAAAAGAGAAAATAATCATTTTAATTGAAGTTAAAATATTTAATATTCAAAATCCATAATATGCCAAAATATTGTATATGGTACTTTTAAAATTCATAAATACGTAAAGAAATACATCAAGAAGACTTGATGTTATTAATTATTTATGGCATCTAACTCTTAAGTTGCATGCCAAAAATACAGTGGCATATCTTTCAGATAGTTTTAAACATAGAAAAAAACATCTGTGATAATTGTTCCATTTGCAGAAATTACAGTAAATATTTTGTTATAATTTTCTATAATATTCATCGTAAGCTATACTTTTCCTGTGACCTAATAGAGTACCGTATTTTTATTCTTATAAGAGGCACCGGTGTATTGGACACACCACATTTTTCACGTCGATTTTTTGGAGGGATATTCTTCCCAGTGTAAGAAGCCTTTATCTTATAGGACGCATCCTAATTTTTACGTAAAGTTTGGGTATAAAAAAAGTGTGTCTTCGAAGGCAAAAAATACTGCTATACAATAAACATTATTACATATAATACATTACACAAACATTAAACATGAAATCCATTATCTCGTATAATATACATTAGCATTATTATTTAATTAGTAATGTAAATAATATATATTTAAATATGTTAATTTGGTCAACTCGACTAAAAGATCTAGAACTATAATATGACTCATTTAGCAATTGTATGCAGTGAAGTATAAATTTATTACCATAGTAATTAATTAAACAACTGTTATATCATTATATAAACAGATTCATTGTAATAAAAGTGATAGATTTTAAAATAAAGTTTAGTCTGAAAAAATTAATTAATCATTAAAAGCATATAAGTTAAAAGATTTTTAATAAATTATTTATTTTATTTTAGGGGTTGATTAAGCATTTCCACAATTATAACGGCAGTGAATATTTAGGTTAAAGTAAAATATCAAAAGTAATCAATATATCAAATCGATTTTAAGGTAATACGATACAAATATTTACAAATATTTCTTACAGCACCTAACGGAATAGTTTAGATTAGAATATTTTAAAATCTATAACTGAAAACTCGATATGGGAGTTTAAAAAATTAAATCTATTAATTTAATTTAAATCTATATCATTGTTTACATTAAAGATATGCAGAATTAACAGTTTAAATTAAAACATAACGTTAAAAAAATAAATGTTTGGCTAAGTAACAGCAAAATGTTTTAAAAGCTAAAAGCAATATTTTTGTATGATTTATTTTTATTCTTCTAGAACTTTTTCAAGTTATCATTAAAGTTATTTTTTATTACTTCACTAAATAATACTGTTTAGATAACAAAGTTCAAATTAATTTAATTAACATATAAAAAAATAATCCATATCAGACACAAATATTTACTTATACTTAATACTCTAATATATATATTTTTCCTTAAAAACATCTCTTCTATAATCAGACAGAAAGTAAAATAAATTACTTTAACAGATAAAAAAAAAGCAATTGAGAAAATATCATTATTATTATTTTATCTAAAGTTTATTTTTGAAAAGCTGTATTAATATGATGTAAATGTAGAAATATGGTGTATAGCAATTTTTTGACATATGAAAGTAATTTGTTATTCGCAAAAATAATATAACAGTTTATTTTACGCAGTCGGCCCAACCCAAAGTTTGTCAATAAAGACGATTAGAGAATGTATTTATTATCTAAAATTTTTTACAATGCTTTAATAAAGAAAACTTTTGAATAATGAAAATTTTGTTTGTTTCCATACAAACAAAATACATTTACTCATCATTATTCTTAGTCAACAATAACTTAGGTAATGTAAACAAACAATGTTAGCCATTAATATGTCATATCGTTTTACAAATAAAAAAAGTTATTTAATTCTAAAATGTTTGTTTTCATTCATTTATATAACAATTTTCTTTTCGAATTAACAAATATTCTATATACACGTGTTTTTTATTGTTTCAAAATTTTTGGGCTGCAATATGAAAAAATTGTAGACCTATAAATTCTTACTGTAGTTCGTCCATCTTTCCTTAATCTCGAGGAAAAAGTTAGATAGATGGAATATTTAATGAAATATGAAAACCTTAGGGGCAAGAGGCCTCAATTAACTATATAAGAAATTCTAATGCAAACCGTTTATTTCAATTCGTAAAGTTTCGTCTGAAAGGTGTTAGATAGATGACCGGCACAACTGTATTGTTAAAGAAAAAGTATGATGTTCAGGAACACGCCACTGTTAATTTGAGTAGAGAGCATATAGTTTAAATTATATAAATTTAAAATATGATTAAAAATTGAAGCCCGGCATTGTGACGATGTCACAATAAATAATTGCTCGTTTAGATTTTAATTATGTAATTTATTGTAGATTTCAAATATATAAATATGTTCAAAAGTTTTAAATTTATTAATTAATTGAATCGACACATAAATCATCTACACACGACCTCATATTAATATCATAATTTTTAATACTTTTTTTTATTTAGAATCTCAGTTAACCGGCACCCGTGGAGATTTATAGGTACCAGACAAATAAAGTTTCTGTTTACTATTAAAAGCAGGCCTAATTAATACTATACTATACCAGAAATTCTATATTGACTTGATATTAATATTGAAATACAGCAATAAAACACAAATTAAGATAAACTTAATTTAGCGCAGTTTTATTATATTAATAAAAACAGTTTTGTGAATGTATTGTACAACTTTAGTTAAACGGTATTCGGAAACAAACGTGCTGTGCTTAGCGTGGGCTTACTTACTATGGGTGCGCCATGTTTAAACTTCCGTTTCCGCTAGAAATTGATTTTATTTTAATTTTTATTTAAAACATTATTTCTTTGATTTTTTGCCAGTTGCTTGAGTTCCGGTTAACGGAGAGTCTGCTGTATTCAATGATGATTTCGCTGCATTATTTTATACAGCAGTAATTTATTTTTGAAATTTATACCTTTATTCTATATACATTTTTTAAATTTTAATAATAAATATTATAATACAAATTACATTACATAAGAAGTAATATACATAACTATAAAAAACATAGTATTATTTTTTGTACAGTATTTTGCACATTTATTTAATACAATATATTATATAAGATAGTAGTTTTTCATTTTTTCTTACCCTTTTTAATTATTNTCCGTTCGACTGTTCATCCAGTAATACAATATCTTATGTATTTCTAAACCAATTTGGAGAAAAGTTATGCGATTTAAGGAATCTCTCAATGAAAACTTGAAGGTTGTTCAAGGATAAATATATTAAATAATTAATAAACAATTAATTTATTGCGGTGCAATTTTCAAATTGCAGACCTATACATTCCCACTATCTTCGTTGCGTATGTCTGTCTGTCTGTCTATCTGTCCTTTGTTAATCTCGAGAAAGGAGTTAGATAGATAAAAATCGAGAGCAAATATGGAAAGCTTAGGAGTCATAGTCCCATAAACGAATTTCCTTTCTGGACCATACGTCATATAATTTTTTTAAATTAAAATTCTTTTATTGATTTCAAGGTTATTTAATATATTTAATACGTAAGATCATGTAATTATATCATCTTACGTATTAAACACTACTGTGACTGCGCGCCCTCTACTGATGACTTTAATTATTATTGTTGAAATAATAACAATTAAAAGGAAATTTATACAAACCAGTTCCATTAGTTTTCCCAGTGACGAGATCACTTTGTTCTCCTTTTCCAATAGAATTGAAAGCGGTGAGAATAAAATGATATTTTGCACCACACCTAAGATGACATATTACAAAATTCCTAGTTTTATTAGATAATTGGACTTCTTCCCAATTACCATGTTCCCATTTATGACGCAAAATATAACCTAGTAAATGAAAATAAATTAATCAGAGATATGTCGAATGTAATTTTACGTAATAAAATATGTTTATTAAGCATTCTACCTGTAACTGGGTTACCATCTAAACTGTCAACATTCCACGATATTGTGATACAGGAGTTATTCACGTATTTAACATAGAGGGGAGGAGATCTGGGCGGATCTGAAATTATGAGATATCATTAGTCCAGTACTAAGCATCAAACTGTCCGAGTTTTATCGTAATTACCTCTTTCGATGTCTGGCACGACTGAGATAACAACTTTTACCGAACGGTGCAATTATATGTGATCCGCAGACCAGAAGATAACATAGAGCGTTAATGTTACCTTCAAACATTTATACTTTAACTAATATTGAATGGCTATCGTCTGATTACAGTAGCCAGAAGGAACGATGATATCTAAGTTAAAATTAAGCTATTGGATGTACTTTTACAGTGTTTTTATTACACTTTTTTATGTATCGTTAAATATAGTAAGATACTTTACGGTAAAATATAAAGTTTTAGATATTAATGTTTTATATTTTCGATTCTAACAAAGCTGCAAACTTCCATTGAAAGCCTTTAGTGATTTTTGAACCCGCAATGTTAATGTTTAAACAGCAATCGAGTAAAAATCAGTTAATAAATAATAAATGTCCGTTCTCTCTATTAAAAATTAATGTTAAGTCTACAAATGACTGAAGGGAATTCTTAAAAACTTACCATTTTCTAATGTCTGAACAGTCACATCGTCTGAAGGTGGACCTGTACCTTTGCTATTAAATGCTTGAACTATTATACTGTATTTGGTATTCCGTCTTAAATTAGTTAAATGACTTTCTTCTAAAAATTCATCTCCTTTAAAATCTAATGTTTTGTAAACATAGGTATCTTGGGATTGAAGTACTTTATAACCAACGTAATAGCCCTTGAGAATTCCAAAATGGAGATCTTTACGTGGTGGCTGCAAAGTTTAATCGTAGGAAATTGTAAAAATCGTATATATAACTATAAAACTCATATATATGTGTGTGTAACTTTTAGTTTTATTTTTAAAAAATTAATTTTATTTAATCAATAATTAAAACAAAGATGTGAAACTAACATGTTTTCTAAGATTGGATGTTTGAAAGACATATTTATTGGGAAAATCCGTTGATTTTCATTAGTAAAAATATTATTTTTATTGCAAAATAAAACTTGATAAATTTCGTATTTACATAGACAATTAAAAAATAATTTACTACTATTCAATTATTAGTTCAATTATTATTTCATTATTTCCATGAAAGAAATTCTGCGTGACAAATTATAAAACATGTTAATTACACTAATCACAACACTATAATAGTACAAATGAACAAACTAAAGTTACCATAATCCAAACATAAAAATCTCTTATTCAAAAACTAAATTTTTTTTGCACACACATTGTTGTACCTTCCAGGTCACTTTTACAGATTGGGATCCTGTGGGGTACGCTCTCACTTTCTGTGGTGGTCCTCCAGGAGCTACACCAAACAATAAAAAATGGATTGAAACGAACAGTTTAGATAAATATCCTTTTTCTTAAAAGAGATTTTCGAAATTTAAGTATTATGCCGTATATACAAGTAAAAAGGTTTCCTTTAAATATCAATTTTATGAGGGGGATATTCTTTCCAAACGATTTGTCAAAGTCAGTGAACTATTCAAGGAGGGATTCTTGCAACAAATGCAACGAATTGAATTTAGATTGAAAAAACTTTCCTCCTATTTTAAAACGCAACTCTTTTATGGATAAAAATTTATCATTTCATAGAAAATGGATATGGAAACATTCGAAAAGAATTTTGATAAATTAGAAAAATAACTGAAAATATTTTCTTCGATGTATTTAAATGATGAATAGAAAAATATAAATTAATCGTTCTCTTACTATATTTTCAAACAAATTATTTTTATGACTTTTATAAATGAGACTATATATAATAGATACATAAAAGAATAAATTTGTATAGCATATGTTGCGGTCATAAATTATAAACGTGTTCTTTAACGTTTCTTTATTATACTGTACCTTCTTCGTCTGTGTGCACTCGAACGTAAGGACTGCTCTCGCTTTTTCCTAAACTGTTGACTGCAGACACGCGAAAATGATAAGTTGTAACAGGGAGTAACCCACGTACAGTTACTGAAGTTTCTGTACCCGGTACAGTAACATTAGCCGGCTTATGGTGCCATCTATCTGCAAGATATAAAAACTATTTATTTTCCACTAAATTTTACTCTATATTATTATAATAAACTTTTTACAGATTTATCAATTTTATCAATATTTAAAAATTACTGATATAGTTAGTTTTTAAAAGTAACCTATATGTAGGCTTATAAATTTATATAAGTTGCTTTTAGTAATAATATAATTAAATTTGTATCTGTAATATTAATTTAAAATGTTACGATTTATATATGATATTACTACATAAAGATAATTTCATAAATAGTGAATAATTTTAATAAAAAGTAAGTTATAAAATTTCCTATTTCTGCCGGCAGATGGCGAGATGTGTCTCTGATACTACAGCTTTAATAAATAATAGAATTATTTTAAAAAATATAAATTTTATTTAATTAAAACAAAATGTAATGGTTTTAGATGGTACCTTTCTCTTCTTTATATTGAAGAATGTATTCTGTTATTTGGCTGTTACCACTATAAGGAGCCGTCCAGGTTATTTTTGCATTTCTGCTTGTGTACTCGAGGACTTTTACATCTTGAGGACTGTCGGGGGGTTCTGTAAACAGAAAAAGTGAGTAGATCATTTATCCTTTTATTGTTATATGGGTCTTTCTAATAAATGTCACCAGATCGTCTTTAGGGAATACAAATGACTATTGATCACGATTAGTTAGAATTAGAGAGAAATTGTTCAGAAGGTCGATTTAATTTGTTCTTCCATCAGGAAAGATTGCACTACTTTCGATAAATCAATACTGGTATGGATAATTCAACAAGTAATAATTGATGCAGTGTTTGATTTGAAAAATTTATCTAAAAACTTTAATGGTATAATTCATTTACCTAATCATTATATTAAACTTGTACGTTTATAATTTCAACATTTATATTGAATTGAAATTATTAATTTTATAGTACTGTATTACATCCGTAACTTATCGACGTTTATTAATTAATTACAGTTTATTAGTAATAATTTATAATAAATGGTAATTATACCCTTTATATGTTATCATAGTCATAACGAGGACTAAGATAATAGATTCATTTGTTATTAGATTCATAAACTTAATGACAGTAAACAATAGATTACAAGTGTATTGTTTTGAAATTTTTAATAGTATAAAGATATAACTTTTTGAGATTTTTATCATATTATGCTACGATTTACTCTATAAATTACGGAATATTTAAATGTCAACTCACCTTGCATAATAAGTTGCAGGTTAGTGTCATCTTGACCGAAAGTATTGGAAGCAATACAAGTAAACAAAGCGGAATCTCTTCTATCCGCTCTGTGTATAGTAATTTCAGAAATAATGCCGTTAGATAAAACTTTTTCTTTAACTTCGTATCTGCGAAAAGAGAAAAAGGAAATGTCAAATTAGTTGACATCTGAAAGAAAACAACAAATACTTAGAACAAATTTGATTTTTATAAATTCAGTTAAAGGAAAAACAAATGCCTAGTATTATATTTGTTATCTTTCTAGAATCTGATCGAATCAAATCGTATGCGTTACTTAATATTCTATTTAATTTTTAGTAAAACATCACCTGGGATCACTCTGGGGACGAAATTGTTGTTTATCTTTCAACCATGAAATTGTTATTGGTCGATCTCCAATAGCTTCACATTTTAATTTAGCATCGTGTCCCTTTCGTACGGTTTCTGCTCTAAATTTTAACCTAAAATGAGCAGCAACTGAAAAATATTTTCAAATATTTTAAAAACATTTCTAGAAACTTAAATCACATATTTTCTTGTTCTTAATATTGCTTAAAGTTAGCCAAATTTCATTGGATAGTGCGTAAATTTATAGAAAATTTTAATTGTAAATTAATTATTTGTAAAATTAAAAAAAAATAAGAATATTTTTTAGATATTTTAAGTAAGTTTCAATAGTTAAATATAATTATTATTTTTGTCAATTAGTGGGTAAATTTAGGTCACTCAAGTTAATTATATAAATGTTAAATATACCAATTAGAATAAACTTTGCCAGAAATAATATAAGATTAATTTAATTATATTGAAGTTTCCAAACATATTTAAATTTGTCTCAAGTTTTAATTATTATTTAATGTCCTCGGAATTAAAAATTCCATTAGTGAGGACTTGACACATTCTTAATGAATGCCGTATAACTTACCATGCACGGTGAGTTTTATGACTTTGCTTAGTCCTTGACCAATACCATTGGATGCTTGACAGAGATAGTATCCCATATCAGCCTCTTCTGTATTATGTATAGCTAAGGAGCCATTCTCAAAAACATGAAGGTGCGAACTACTACTTATTGGCATAAATTCTCCTGGTATATCTCCAGTTATATTAAATCCTGTTTAAAATATAACTACAGTATTATAACTATTCATTTTTCTTTTAAGAAAGATCTTACTTTATTTATAAATTATATAAATGAAATTTACAAGCATGTATAATTAAATCAATTATTTTTAATTTTAAAAAATTGTGTAGTCTTTATTACAATTATTATTTCAAGAATAATTTATATAATTATTTTAGTAATTCTAGAATTTCAGATTTAAAAAATGTTCGGTTTATATTGGGTTGTAACACATTTATCAAGTAATCCTTAATTGTCAGTGATAACTAGAAACCCGATAAGGTTGCAATTGCTTTCATGACCTCTCCAGGATTGTGTTCTTCTGTTGATTGAAATCAGGTAAATCCAAATCAATAGCAAACACTGTTGTTGGGACAAATCCAATATTTTTTCCTATCTTCACTTACTAATCTCGATGGTTTATTAATGTATTAAATTACATTTATTTTATACTGTATATAAAGAGCTTGTTATTTCATACTTTAAAATAATTAATTTTTATTAATATTTATTTGTATTTAATAATTTTATTCAAATTTTAAAAAAAATAAAAAAAAAAACAATTATATTAACCCATGCTTAATGATTAATTTACGAAAAATAATATCAAGATGAATTTCAGCTTCATTATAGGAAAATGATATTCGATATCTTAAATAAAGATTAATTGGCATTCGCATTAATTAAAATTAATAAAATACCACATTTGAGACTGTTAGGTTAATTAGTTTAGTAACAGAGCGGTATCTAAGGTTACAATTCTATACTTAAGGCTCATATCGCAATAACATTATACGCTATTGAGTAATTCATATAAAATTCATAAAGATCTAAATCAACAATGAATCAAAATTTCATATCTAAAATATTACAATAATACTTGAGATAAATTGCTGGCTTTCTATTGCTTTCGTCCATTAGCAAAGTAGTTTAATGAGACAGTATTTTAACGAACACACAATAAGGATGTTTCCGTTTGCTTTATGAATGATTTTCTTGGTTGTTAACTAAAGTGGCATTATTAAACTTCTTAAAAAATACAATTTTATAAAGATTTTTATATAATATGATTTAGAAATTAAATAAAATTATAAAGCCAGATGCTTAATTTTTATTCCTAATTAGTCTTTTAACTTTCTTCTATTTTTGCGACTTAAAATACTTTTGAAAAATTTTGTTAAAAGTACTTTATTCTTAATAAACTACTTTTAAATATAACTTAAGCTCTTTAAATGCTGTTTTACTCCATCTCTAGAGAATATCAACGTACTTAAACAACGATTTAAGTAATAAATTCTATTTACAAGAGAAAGCCTCTTGCTATCAATTTAGATAAATATTATTAAAGTCTACAACTACAGACTGTTTATTTTAAGACGGGTTTTCTTCTAAAACAAGGATCTATTATTAATAATAAAAAATACTTTCTTTCAAAAGAATAATTTAGAATTTTTCCTCGCTATGAAAATGGAAAGTTATGCTAATGATGTATGTATATATTATATTTGGCTATTCGTATGTATAAACTTTTTAATATATAAAGAATAAATGTTATTTATATGCACGCGAATGTAGTGTAATAAATTTCGAGATAGTTCTTAAAAATTTCTTCATGATCTACTTTATAATGAAATTCTTTACAACGTTGCATGACATGCCAAAATTATTTATTCAATAACCACTCCCGTTTTAAAATATCTTTAATTTCTATTTAAATTACATTACTTCAAATATTATTATAAAATCAAAACAGTGCTAAATAAGAGTATAAATTTCATATTTTTTTATATTTTATATTAAGAGATAGTACTGTACATAATCAATTTATTTGCAATTATAATAAACTAATGTAGTCACTTATATTAAAATTATAATAATTATATTATAGAATTTACAGCTTTTTTTCTAAATTTTAATTTTTATAGCTTAAAAAGTTATTCACTTAAATAATTTAAACTTAATTACAGTGAATATTAAGCATTTAATATATTGTTAAAGATAATATCTTATTGATAATCAATATAATTTTGATAGAAAAAACTTTATGTTTGTTCAATGACAACTGATATTTTCCATGTTAAACTTATCATGAGCTAATGCATTTTTATGATCTAATACAAGATACAATATCTATAGAGGCCAAGTAGAGATTCTCTACGAAGAGAAATTATCAGCTATTTCCTTTATGACTCATCTTTCAGCTAATTACAAATTAAGCTTTAGTTATATCTTAAAATAGATGTGAACAGTAACAACGTAAAAGGATACAAATATATTAATAAACATAAAAAATATGATTAATTAAACGCTATATTAATATATTAAAAATTGCCGAATATAGAAAACTATAAACTGAGTTTTATAGTGAAAATAGCAAATCAACGTCATTAATTAACTTTAATCGTGCATTACGTATAATCATTTTAACTTTAAACAATTAATTAATATGTATTATGAGGTTATAATATTAATAAATACCTTCTGATTTAGTCCATCTCATTCTTGGTGGTGGAAATCCTGTAGCTTGGCAATCTATTACAGCTACTCTTCCTTTTATTACATTTGTATCTGTTGGTTCTAGTTTCCAACGTGGAGGAACTACAAATTCAAATGCCACAGAAGATTAAGTAATGAAAATTAACAATTTTAATCTAAAAATATAGCAAATATTTTAGTAAATTATTGAAAATCATTTCCAATAAAAATTAGCTTTTGTAAGGACTCTCTTTTTCTCTTCAATGGAAATAATTTTAAAATGAAATTAATCAATAATAAAGATTTTTCTACATATTTTTGTTTAATATTTTTGTATGACTATGATTACTACTAGTGCTGAACGTCGGGATTTTTTTAATACTCGGGTACATAAGTACAGTACCTGGAATCTTCAAGTACCTATTTAAAAGATTACGTACAGTACAGTACAGAACTTTAAAAAAAATATATTGAAGCGAGCAAAAGTATTAAAAAACTAATTAGTAAAATGATTATAATTTAGTATATCTAGCAGTTTTTAATTGAAATCGTTTCCTAACGAATTACTATTACTTCCAATTTTTAAAGGATCAGTCCAGTTTTACAAAATAAACTTTTAAATTAAATTTTGAAAATATATTTTTCTAATTAAAATTTTTAATTAGAAAAAGATACTGTTTTTTCATTNAGATATCACTTTAAAGAAATTCAAAATTTAAAAAATACTTTTCAGTGAATTTTTATATTAAAATTAAGCTTAAATATTATTTCTTTTTCAATTTAGAACATAATTTAATCTCTAAAATCTAGTTTTCGAATCAAAGCCATACCATGAATTACCATTGTTGCAGTGTGGCTAACTGAACCTCCAGCATTACTGGCAACGCATGTATAGTTACCACGATGCTCTGGTGCCACAGATTCGAATACCAAAGTTGATGAAAATTTAGCGACATCAATAATCTGTACGTCCTGCTCTTTTTTTATTTTTCTTCCATCTTTGAACCATTTTATATCTACAGGCGGATCTCCTTTTGTGACTGTGCAAAGAACTGAATAACGTTGTCCTTGATGCAACGGGTTAGGAAACTGAAAAGGTACTATAAAGGGACGAACTGAAAAGGAAAGATTCCTTTAGAACTTTTCAAACTTTTCAACTCATTATAAAATATTTTAAAAATATATAAATAAATTTAATTATATACCATAACTTAGAGCAGTGGTTCCCAACCTTTTTTCATTAGCGTACCCCGTGACATGTCATATTTCTAGATAGNTTTAAAATGTGTTTGAACCTGTTAATTTAAACATGTTATGAACTGCGTGAATTTAATCGAATATTGATTTTGGAGAAAAGTTGAGTAATTATTTCCATAATTATACTGTAAAACCTGCGTAAACCGGAAAAGCATGACTACTGAATATTTTTCCCGGTTTGGCAGGTTTCCGTTTTTAACAGATTTTTTAATATATAGAAAATCGCTCCGTTCTGAAGAGATTTTTTTCCATTTAGGCAGGTTTTCGTTTTATTCAGGTTCCGTTATGAACAGATTTTACTATATATATATATATGTGTGATTATAGAAATTCGGTAGGCAAAATTTAAATAATAGAACTTCATATCGGAACGAAACATTAGAAACTAATAAACACATTAATTTTCAATGGAGGTTAAATCAAAAAGACATAGAAATTCGGTAACTAAAATAGGTTTTTTTGACAATTTTGTATTCTATCACATAAATAACGCCAACAACAAGATTTACACAAAAATAAGACTAAGATTTAAATATAATATTATAATTTTTTAAACGTCAAATTAAAAAAATGCATTATATTTGGATATTTTGAGTCCAATTATCTCGAGTATACGAGTACAAAAAATTTCTCGAGATCGTTCAGCACTAATTAAATTGTACTAGAAAATGTATGAATTAATAAATATAATTTGATTAAAATAAATACTTTTTGTTTGCTTATACTAAAGAATTCTTAATTTTTTAAAAATTTTAATATGAATTTTTAATTTATTTCTAAAAGACGAATATAAATTTTAAATAAAATGTATATTTACAACTACAGTATATTAACTTTACAGAAGTTTCAACGTTTTAAAATAAAATTTTTTAAAAGAAAGATATGAAATTAATATTTTAAAAAGTATATAAATTTACACCAAAAAATAAAATAAAAAATTAACTGCAAAATTGAATACATTTTTATATTTTCTAAAAAATATACATATACGAAAACTTCTATTTTCTGTTAGAATTTAGGTAATTAATGCAAATTTAGAAATTTGATATAAAGATATCACTTTAAAGAAATTCAAAATTTAAAAAATACTTTTCAGTGAATTTTTATATTAAAATTAAGCTTAAATATTATTTCTTTTTCAATTTAGAACATAATTTAATCTCTAAAATCTAGTTTTCGAATCAAAGCCATACCATGAATTACCATTGTTGCAGTGTGGCTAACTGAACCTCCAGCATTACTGGCAACGCATGTATAGTTACCACGATGCTCTGGTGCCACAGATTCGAATACCAAAGTTGATGAAAATTTAGCGACATCAATAATCTGTACGTCCTGCTCTTTTTTTATTTTTCTTCCATCTTTGAACCATTTTATATCTACAGGCGGATCTCCTTTTGTGACTGTGCAAAGAACTGAATAACGTTGTCCTTGATGCAACGGGTTAGGAAACTGAAAAGGTACTATAAAGGGACGAACTGAAAAGGAAAGATTCCTTTAGAACTTTTCAAACTTTTCAACTCATTATAAAATATTTTAAAAATATATAAATAAATTTAATTATATACCATAACTTAGAGCAGTGGTTCCCAACCTTTTTTCATTAGCGTACCCCGTGACATGTCATATCTCTAGATTGTACCCCTCATTTAAGAAATTTAGTGAGTAACCGTATTGTTAATTTTACATATTGTAACTTTAAATTAAAGAAAAAAAACCTAAAAGAAAAAATGTATAATAAAGTTGTGATTGTTGCAAGGAACATTTTTTATCTAATAATTTTTTAATACTATTAGTTTGTGATACATAATATATTATTTTTTCTGCCATAATAACTAACTTCTTTCTGTACCCCTAAACAACCTATCGCGTACCCCTAGGGGTACGCGTACCACAGGTTGGGAATCGCTGACTTAGAGCAATACGTGCTTACAATAAATTTAGTTTACAATTTAATTTCTGTTGGTATAAAACGTTGAAAATTAATAAATAACTTATCTTATTTTATTTGACGATTTTTATAATTATTGATTGATCGATTTATTATTATTGATACTTAACGTGAGAATAATTACGTTATAATTATCTTTTGAAGAATTGGATAACCTGTCATTAGCTTTAAGACAGCATTTAATTTTATGGTAGTATATATAACAGAAACTAACTCACCCAAAACTGAAACGTACAAACTGTTCTGTGCAATTTGTCCATCTTTGTTTCTCACTACACAAGTGTATCGTCCCTCATCCGTGGCTCTTTCTACATCTTTCACTATTAATGATCCGTTGATATATACTTTCTGACGATGATTATACGGCATTCTGAGACCTTCTGTAACGATAATGGCGATACTTTCATCAGAAATAAAACTCGTTAAAGTGTGTAGAATTCAAATTTACAAAATTATATTAAGGATGATCGAATATTTCAGCAATTTCGAAATTTATAAAGGCATTTTTGAGTTATGGAGCAAAGTGGATAATAATAACTCACTTAAATACGCCATCGACTGTAGATATATTTAAAAATTCAACTCTAATAGATATTATAAAAATTCTAAAAATGTATTTTATATAATCCATGAATTATATAATGTGTGTAGTATCTAATTAAAGACTTTGCGAAGTGTTAATATTGATTATTCCTAGGCGAAAAATACTCTGATAGTTAACTAGAATATTTTAAAGGAGCTATTTGATGTTTTTGAATGGATGGCTCAAAGAAACTAATAGTGTATTGTACTATAGAATACATTTCGACAATTAAACTCATCCTGACCACGACCTTGCACTAACAATCAATCACGGGGTGGGATATTCAATCAAATTTGAGACACGATCTTCAGGAAGTAGATGACACCATATATTGGAAACTAGTTGATAAATGACAGTACTGTCGAATTTCTAACTCGAATTTCTTTACATTTCTCTCCTTTAAATCTAAAGAATGAATGATGAAGCTTACATTCTTCTGTAATTTTGCCAGTCGACAGAGTTTGAATATCCATCATCTTTGGCGTTGAAATCGAAGTAATCTAGGAAACACATATGCTACGTCCATTGGGATGAATATTTTAGATTAAATTGTAAATGTGCTCCTGTTGGATAACAAACACTATTAAATTTTTTTCCTTCTTTAAGAATGGAGCTTCTTCACATCTATAGAAATTTGCCATTAGACTATAAACTTTCGATTTGATTCAAAATAGTTCAATCAATTTTAAGGAATGATAAATAGTGAAATAAAAGCATTCGTTCAACCTCACTAATAACATATAATAATGATCTTAATATTGCATTTATATTAAAAAATTTAAATTTTTAATCATTATTCTTACCGCAAAAACGTAAAGAATTGCATCGGAGTTTAAATATTATTAAATATTAAAACTTGTTTTTTTATACATTTTGAAAATAATTTAAATATTGTAAGATAATTTAGTAAATTCTACATTAGTTATATATTTAAATTTAAAGTAAAATATTTTATTCGACTCTTATTTATTTAATAAGTTTAATTTTTAAATGAAATAAATATTTAAACAATTGTAAGTTTTTATGTCACACTAAACTTTTATATAAATAATTTAGAAATTATTTACGAACTACTTATACTTTTATGTTATGAAATAATTACTTGTGATGCCTGTAAGAAATGTTGCTCATAAGATATAAAAGAATTTAATTAGAGTTTCTAACTTTTAATATCAGGAAAGATGATTCAGATATTATACATAATTAAAGGAAATTGAATAGAAAACAAATAGCTCACTCATAAGTACAACATTAGAAATAACGATAGAAATATCTACTTAGATGCAAACTTCTGTATAATAATTATTAAGGAGATAGTCAGCTGACTTTTAACTATTATTATAACACTAATTGGCTTCAAGATGGAATTTTTATACACTATACTTCAAGTAAACAAAATATTTCCAGATTTACTATCGAACATTCACTTTTAGAATATTAATTATCAAAATTTTTAGAAGAGATAACCAATTTAATGAGCTAAAGCCATTCTTAATTAAATGAAAAAAAAGCAAATTAAATTTTGTTTTAGAAATATATAAAAATCGAAAATTCTAAGATTAAATTCGTTAAAAAATTCTGAATAATTATACAAAATTCATTTAAAATAATTATCTTTCTATTAAAAATGAAATTGTGAAGTGTGTAACTATTCTTTTATTCAGCTCAAGTTCTAGTATAAATAAAAAAAAACAATAATATTTATAATATTTAAAATAACTTTTCTTTTATTCAATATAATAATTTTCAATATAAGATCAAGTTAAATAATTTTTTCCTGCCAGAAATATGAAAAATTTTGTTTACTAAATAGAGCATTATTTAAAATTGTATGCATTTTATAAAATATTTGAACTATATCATTATAATTTTAAAATTTACATCTATTATAACTCATGAGATAGTTTTTCTTCCAAATATATTTTCTTGATTATATTTATTTCCTTCCTTCCTTCAGAATTATTTCAGGAATTTTCTACATTTCCATAATTTTGCTGGTAATGTTTGAAAAACAACATTTTACTAAGATAAACAGCTTATGAAAATTATAATTTTCCATGTAATGTTACCTAGAGAATATATTTGGAAAATGTGAAGCATTTATTCAAAAACTCACAAAATAAAGTGAAGATAAAACGAAATCACTAGATTGCATTCTAAATATAAACTTCTAGATTCTTTGGCTTTATTTATTTAAATAATTTTTATAAATTTTGCGTAAAAACGATTATAAAATAGTATATAATGATGAATTAAATATAAAATGTACTGTACATTCCGATAGTTTTTAAACGTTGTCAACTTGCATAAAAATCTCCCGTTAATTGTTGTTGGTTGGAAGTACCGCATGTCGTCTTTTTATAAATAATTTTTATAATAAAACTATCTCCGACAAGAAATAATTGATGAATTATAGGTTACTAACGAAAATTATAAAATTCCAAGACGCATTTTTCATTATATAGAAGGAATTTTGGTTGTAAAGTCACGCTGCGGGGAGATGACATCAATAACACAATGACTAAAACTAAAAGATGTTTCTGTTTTTCCTTTTTTTATTATTTATTATTAAAACTCTGAAAATTCTTTCTTTTTGTTTCTATTGTAATTTCATTTTCGTTTCAGGCAGAAACGTTGCAGATCCATCAACGTTCTGTAATATTTTTCTTTGCGTATTCTAAAACGGAAAGTTTAGATATTACATATGATTTTTATAGTTAGAATTATTATTGATTCATTTACATTTTACTATATGTAATAAAATCACCTTAAATAAAGCTTATGTAAAAATATTTTTAAAAAATAGAAAATTATTTCTTAAACGTATTATAAATATTATTTCTTCATCTTGTGACCTTTAATATAACTATTTCCAATTAAAACGAATGATATTCACAGTAATTTTCTAAAAATAAATTTAAAATACTCACTTCAAAGAATCAATTATCTGTATTTCGTTTTACAAATGCAAACAATTTTTCTATTCTTAAATAACATCTCTCTAATCCGCAATATGTAATTAGCAACTAATTACTAGAAATAAAGTTTAAAAACTGTTTTCATACTCCATAAATTGTTTACCAAGTGTTGCATCCGAAGTCCGTCACTCGTGTAATTGTAAAATCAATATCAACATCAATATTAGTTTTCCGTTGTAACAAAAGGCCGCATTCCATCTTGCATTATGTTACATATAGTGAAATTCTGATATATGGCATTTCATTATGAACCGTGCACTGGCCAATATACTTGAATATCAAGGACCAGTGATTGATTGAAAACCTTCAGAAGATAAGCATTCTTAGTACCTTCTGTTGGCATTTATCAAGACTTTATGGATTATGGATAGCTGGAACCCGCATTATCATCATGACCGAATATAACTATATCGAAATGAAGTTAGCTTCTTATCATTCCCTTTTCCATTCACTGTGCATCCAAACTTCCACTGAAAAAATCCCATCCTCTCTTTTCTTTTGTATGTATAATAACTATACAATGAAGCTGAATGGACATCCCGTTATATACAGACAGTCTATATAAGATATTTTTCGAAACAAGAGATTAGTATTTATTAAATGTAATTTATCTCTAGCAAACTCACCTCTTTCCCATTTGATACTCTCTATTGGGTAACCACCAAAAGGACATTGAATTTTCATCGTTTCTCCCGCAACAACTGACACGTTTAACATTGGACGTATGAAGGGAGCACCGAAAATATTAATTTTCTGTCTGTGTGACGTGGTTCCTACTTCATTAGTTGCCGTGCACTCATAAACACCACCATCTTCGGCTTGAGTAGTCGTAATGTTAACATAACTAACAACTGTAGCGTCACTTCGAACATAATCACCCATTCTGTAACGACTTCCTTCAGGAACAGCCATTCCATCTAAAGTCCACGTGACTTGTGGTAAAGGATTTCCTGACGCAACACACTTCAATGATATAGATGGACCAGGTTTAATAGTTTCTTCAGAAAACTTTTCTAATAATATCGGAGAATAATCTGTCGAGCAAAAAATATGAATTATACATATATAAAACTATCAAGAACTTAAAAAAATATAAATTAGACTCTCGTAGAAAAAGAGCAAATCATTACATCTAATTTAATATACTTTAATCATATAGAAGTTCTTTCTCTAAATAAAAACAAAGTAATAAAACTTATAAGATAAAAGCAATCCTCTTTCTCTCTCTCTTCAATGATCATCATCCGATATAAGCCAAGTACATTTTATTACCTCCCAGACTAAGCTGAGCAGTTCCCTGAACAGACTGAAAATCGTTGAAAGCGAAGCATTGATACATTCCTTTATCGTTTCTGTTTACAGACGCTATTTTTACTACTTCTCTGGTCACGTGTTGTATACGTGTTGAACGTAAAGGCTGATAGTCTTTCATCCACTCCACTGCCGATATTGGATGACCCGTGATGGTGCAGTTAAATACTGCCGGTTTACCCACATCCACTACTTGTTGCAAAGGTTGAATATTCGCCGTTAGTGGAACTAAAAAATATATAAAAAGAGTTAGCAAATAAATCGATTTTTACGGTAAAAATAAATGATCCGCATTATAATATATAGTTTAGATAAGCACAGATTTTTCGCAGAAGTTTCCATAAAACGGTTTGAGTGCAGTTGTTTTCTATTGAAATTTATTTACTTTAATTTTTGTAGAAGGCAAAGATTAAATATGTAAACAATTAACACAATCGAATAATCTTCGATTTAATTTTATAACTGTCAAACGTCGTTGTGAATACTAAAATTTGAGAATTTGTTAACTGTTAAATAAATACCATAAGGAAATCCTTCTGCTTTGTTTCAATTAAAATAAATTATGTCACAATAATTAGATTTCGAATAAATTCTATTAATCGCTGTCTCGGTAACGTTAAGAAAACAAACAAGTTTATTCCCTGGAGTTATTCTGCTGATGAATTACCATAGAATTACTTACTATACCTGTAACGAGTAAATCCGTCTCGGCGCTTTCAACTCCGACCGTATTGTTGACAGTGCATACGTATCTACCACTATCGTGTACAACGGTGTCTTGTATCACTAGTGTCCCATCCAATTGCATGACCCGTTGTCCTATATGAACTGGAGTGAGACGTCCGATATCTTTCTTATACCATTTATACGTTGGAACCGGATAGCCTTCTGAGGCACACGGTATTTCCACCACTTGTCCCTGTCCAACTCGGATATGTCTTCTGTTATCTGTTATTCTTGGTTTGACGTTTCTGAACGATTCTATTGGGAAATAAGGAACGAAACAATTGAGCATTCTCATATGGGTCTATATTTATTTCTCTAAGAAAAAAAAAATATATATATATATATATATTCAAAACATTTGTAGCATCATTTTTACTAATTTAAACATAATTTTTTTCAATAAAACAAATGAATTAAGCAGTAAATTTTATTTTTTATATTAACAATTATATATAAAAATATACTATACACTATCGATATAATGTGTGTGTATGTGTGTGTGCATATATATTTATATTCTAAAAGAATATGAGCAAATAACTTAAATATTTATTTGATAAAACTCGGCAAAAATTAATTTTCTCGCTTCTATTATAATCATCTTTTTAACTTAGATAACATTTTAAACTTTTAGAATTGCACTAGTGCTCTTGGGAAACTTTAGTCTGTGTACGTCAAAAATTGTTGAGTTTTTAGGGAATTGATTTTAGAAATAGCTTTTTTTTTTTTTACCCAGTAACTTGTTGATATTTTGATCGATTTTTGAAACTGCTCGCTTTCAATACCAAGTCATTTATCATACAACATGAAAAAATTTAAATCGATATTTTTTCGAATATTTTTAGAAAATAAAGAGATAAGTCTTTATGCTTAAATCTACCGTAGTGACCTTTAATATAACTATTTCCAATTAAAACGAATGATATTCACAGTAATTTTCTAAAAATAAATTTAAAATACTCACTTCAAAGAATCAATTATCTGTATTTCGTTTTACAAATGCAAACAATTTTTCTATTCTTAAATAACATCTCTCTAATCCGCAATATGTAATTAGCAACTAATTACTAGAAATAAAGTTTAAAAACTGTTTTCATACTCCATAAATTGTTTACCAAGTGTTGCATCCGAAGTCCGTCACTCGTGTAATTGTAAAATCAATATCAACATCAATATTAGTTTTCCGTTGTAACAAAAGGCCGCATTCCATCTTGCATTATGTTACATATAGTGAAATTCTGATATATGGCATTTCATTATGAACCGTGCACTGGCCAATATACTTGAATATCAAGGACCAGTGATTGATTGAAAACCTTCAGAAGATAAGCATTCTTAGTACCTTCTGTTGGCATTTATCAAGACTTTATGGATTATGGATAGCTGGAACCCGCATTATCATCATGACCGAATATAACTATATCGAAATGAAGTTAGCTTCTTATCATTCCCTTTTCCATTCACTGTGCATCCAAACTTCCACTGAAAAAATCCCATCCTCTCTTTTCTTTTGTATGTATAATAACTATACAATGAAGCTGAATGGACATCCCGTTATATACAGACAGTCTATATAAGATATTTTTCGAAACAAGAGATTAGTATTTATTAAATGTAATTTATCTCTAGCAAACTCACCTCTTTCCCATTTGATACTCTCTATTGGGTAACCACCAAAAGGACATTGAATTTTCATCGTTTCTCCCGCAACAACTGACACGTTTAACATTGGACGTATGAAGGGAGCACCGAAAATATTAATTTTCTGTCTGTGTGACGTGGTTCCTACTTCATTAGTTGCCGTGCACTCATAAACACCACCATCTTCGGCTTGAGTAGTCGTAATGTTAACATANTTAAAATTATTATTTTTTATCTGATTTAATTAAAAACAATTAAAGATTCCCCCCTGTTATTTACATCTAAATCAGAGATTTTAATAAATCCAGTAAAAAACATAACATAAATGGAGCCAGTCGACTTAACAGAAGCATTCTTTTTTTTTTCTTTACGATTCACTATCTAAAATCATTAGATTTGGTGCTTTATACTACTAGAGAAATTCTATTGGTTTCGAAAAACCAATAATTCTCAAGAATGAGTCTTTCCTTCCGACGAGAATGAGTTCTTTCTGTTTTCCAAGTTACTCCTACTTATAGATTTCTCTGAAAGAGTTTAGAAACTTTGTGACATCTTGAAGATTTCACTTTTTCTAACACATCTGAAGAAGTGTGCTTTATTTTAAAAAAATAAAAAATAAAAACAAAATAAAAAAGAAAACAAAATGAAAATGCCAACATTGAAAAATTACGAACTAATTTCGAATATCGAGTATGATTAAACAACTTTTGCTGACGTTTTATGACTAATAAAAAGCTAATAAAGTGCAAAACAGGTGCGATAAATGTTCTTTACCTTCAATTAATATCTTTATTACTTTCTATTGTAGAAGTTAAATAAATCTTACTAAATAAAATAAATTGTAAATTAAGAAAGTAAAATGTCGTTTTATTACAGAGAATTTATAGTTTTGTACAAATTATCGAAATAAAATTGTTAAATGGTAAATTTTTCTATTCATGCGAGTATATAAAAATGCTGAATATTAATTTTTTGATTCCTACCATATTTTAAAATTAAATAGATGAAAAATTCATTTCATATCGATTTTAATTTAATTACTGCATTTAATTATTAATCTTCAAATGTTTTTTCAGATTAAATTTAAAAAAACAGTAATGTATTAAAAAAACTTATTGAAATTTCATAAATCTAGAATATTAATTACGACTTTTTTGTATAATCATATAATCTATTTGCAAATATTCGCCGTTTTTCATATATCCAAGACATGTTTATTGTCGAAATCGGTTAAGAACACAATTTTTCTTATCCTTAAGTACACTATTTAATCTATAAATCCATTAAGAAGATTGCAGCAATAAGCAACCAGTCACTTAGTCTGGATTATCGGATATAATGAAGTTAACTTGAATGCGAATTTAGTATGCTTGGGTTTGATTTAAGGAAATAGAAACAAAAATATAATTTTAAAAATTATTTTTCTTTATATGTATATCAAAATATTAAAAAGTAATGTAAATAATATCTTGATTTAATTTCATTTTATATAACAGTAATTTACTATTTTTTCACATCAAAGATAATTGTTTGTTTAGAATTTTCTTTCATATTCCTCATTAAATTGCAACACCTACAGTTTATTTCATTTCTTACTTGCTTTTCGAATTAATGTCATCTTTCATTTCCTCCCTGCAGTGCTTTAGAAAATAAGCAACTATAATGGCTCACAAATGAAGGCAAGAAGGCGTTAGCTGGAAACACTAGGAGACCACGAAATTGTTACCAAACTTCAATCTGTTGCGTTGTGTGGTCGGAATTTAAACTATCTCATTGTATGGAAAGACTGTTGAACATCCCAAAGTCATGTCATTGACCGAAGTCTGAAGGCAGACAGTCTGTGAGTAATGAGATGTAACTATGGATTGGCTACATTCAAAAAAAAAGACAACCACTTTGTGTTTCCGTCCCTAATATTTCCCCTTATATTTTATTGCTGACACAAAATCAGAAACATAAACCGAATAAATCTTTTATTTACATACAGTTTTTTTTATTACAATTTACACCAAATAGTCAAGACGAATTTTTATATATACATTTCGAATGTCTCTGATCAAAACAAGTTTACTGTTCTTTACCAGAAAATGAAGAAGACAGAATGAGGTTATCACTCACCTGTTAAATGTAACCTTCCAAAAGTGGAACTGACAACGGTTTCGCTTGTCAACCTGTGTCTTGTCTGACATTGATACTTTTTCTGACTATCAGCATGGCTGACTCGACGGATATGCAGTTGTCCCGTTGAAAAAATACTGTAACGATCTCCTACCGAAGATAACATAATAATTACATCAAAGAAAACTTACAAAAGCAACTTCTATTAAATTCAATTTATATCTTGGAGAAAGTAATAATAAAATTTTGCAGAATAAACTAAAAATTTATTGAAATTTTCTTTACAAAACTCTCCATTATTATTATTCATAGGGAATACTAAAAATATTTTTTTAGTAAATATTCTTTAGAATAATTCTAAATCTTTCGAATAATAAAATTCTGATGTATTGTGAAAGAATCTAAAAAGTAAAAAAAGGTGTGGAATTTCAAGTATTTGTAATAAATTCAAAACATTTAAAGACCGACTAACATACGAGTATGTTTACCTATAAAGGATGCAACACAATGTATTAAGTTCAAATATACTTTTTAATTTAATTTTATAAATATTTTATGGCAATAGAAATATTTTATGTTAGTTGGCTGTCAAAGAATTTATACAACTTGAAAACTTTTACAATAATTTATAACGTATTTATGCCGTATTACTCAACAAAACTCACAGAAGACCAGGTCGATCAGGGCAGCTGAAGCAAAGGGATCAACTAGAATCGATCCTTGATCCTTCTACCGACACTGAAAACGATAGTCTACTACACTGACAGCCTACCTAAATTTATCATTATACTTTCTAAGAACATTTTGATCTACAGATAATATATTAAATCATGATTCGTCTAATAAAAGCGATAAATCGTTTCTCTTACACACAAAATCTTTGTATACCACTCCAGAATATAAATAATTCTCGAATTATCATATTTTATTCGTTCTTAATGTAAAAGAAACCAAAGAAATATGAAAAATTGAGTAAAAAGTTATAAATTTAAGAACAATTCTTGTATTTCTTTAATCTCTTAAAACTCAACTTTTTCAGTAACATGTAAATAAATATTTTAGAATAGTTTTTTTCTGACGTGTATATCATATTTACTATTAGAACAACACTAAAATAAATAAAAATGAAATAAATACCATTTGATATATGAAATCCTAACCTTTTATAGGATTTTAGAAGATATACAAAATTTTTATATCACGCATTTTTGTATTTTAGAATTACATTGTAAACTTACTAATATTTAAGCGAATTAAAAATGCTTTATAAATATTTTAGTTTTATTTAAACAATTGTAATTTATGTAATTTATTTAAAATAAAGATTTATGTATAATTCTACAATAAAAATTAACAAAATAATTTCATTCCTGGCATGTTATAAATTATCTATATTGATAATTATTTATATTTCAAGAAATAGTAATAAAAATTTCGAATAAAATAAAATTTTAATAAACAATTATACTGTTAAATACATATTAAAACTTAAATTATTATTTTTAATTCCTTTAATTATTATCACGACAAATGCATTAGCTTAATAAAAAAATCTTTTAATAATGTTTTTAATTTTGAATAATTGAAATTCTTTGGTATTCAATATATGCTACTTCTTTGCAGGTAAATAAACATCAAGTTTAAAGATTTACTTAAGTTCAGTACCTATCTTATTCAATGGTTAACTAAACAATTAATTAATGTACTCCTGAATGTCGAATTGATTAATTGAACATAAAGTAAATTGCTTCATGGTAACCATGTGAAAAATTTCTTTTTAAAGAGTAAAACAGAGCATCTGAACAATTTTATTTTCTCATTTAATAAATACGATGGAACATAATCGAGTTTTATAGGCAGATTCATCTAAAAATTGACAGATACTTTATGCATAATTTTGTTTTGAACTAAAACTTTGATAAGTTCCAGATAAAAATTAATTAAAATTCTGCTATGGATATTTAAAACTTTAGAAAATGGGGTAAATTTGTATGTAAATAATGATTGATTTCGGCTATATTTCTATAAATAATTTATGAGTTAAATTTCTTCTACAACGTATTTGATATAAAACAAAAACTCGATTAAATATGGAAATACAGTTAAAACTTTTTATGAAATTTCGCTTTATAGATTAGATATAATCGTTTACAGATAATATAGTATTTATTCTTAGTGAAAATATTTGTACTAAATAATTAATCAGCTATAATTTTAACTTATACAACCGTAAAATTAATTTGCCTCGATTAAGCTGAAATATATAAATATAGAACTTTTCTTCTATCTGTATTTAAGCAAGTATAACTATCGATAAAGGAAAAAGTCTCTAGTTAAATGTAAATACATCATTTGTTCTAAAAGTATATTAAAACAATGAAAAATATCTTCATCTCATAAAGATATTTCCTTAAAATTTTATAATTCTGGAGCCTTTATCTTAATTATCGAGTTACCTTTGACTTTTTAGATCTAATATAAAGTTATTCGCCAAATCTAGTTATTGCTGATTAAATTTAAAGATTTTTCTGACTTAGTTAATGTCATAAGTAAAGATTTGCACTGAATAAAGATTAAAACTATTGTTACGTTGAAAAAATATTTTACGTTAAGTTTATATTTGTGATTGCACTTTCGATTGTTTATTAATTAATAAAGTTTTAAAATTTAATTTGTTAAAATTTTGTCGTAAGTAATGAATGACATTTATTGTTTCGACTGTTAATAAATGAATAAAGATTAAAGGAATTTCTATAATAATATATAAATTAATTATCTAGCGTCAAGTATTTATGAGAAAAATCAAATTTCTTTTACAATTTTTATCTACGGATAAAAAGGAATTATTTTTAAATTTTTTTATTAAAATATACGACAAATTCCACTCAACTATTGAATAAAAAATTACAACTTAACAATAAAAAATAATCTGTAAAATAATTCATTTTTAACTCATGGATTATATTTTAATATAGGGGGAGACCGGGGCAAGATCGGCATGTTAAGCTTTACTTAAATTTTGTGTAATAAATACTGCTGTAAACTGAAAAAAAAGCTTTGCATATTGTCTATTGGAATGTTACCTTACTATAGAACTGGTTAAAATCAGTTTGGAAATAAAAATAATTAAAATAATTACAACTTTACAAGAAGAGAGAAATTGACGAAGTTGCCCCGGGTATAGGGGCAAGATCGGCAACTTCTCTCTTTTTGTAAAGTTGTAATTATTTTAATTATTTTTATTAAAGTTGCCCCTGGTATAGGGGCAACAGTAATGGGGCAAGATAGGCACGTATATAAAATTATGTTATTAACAATGTATAAGTTGGAATTCACTATTAAAACAAAGAAATACAAATCCAACACCCATTTAATATTATTACAACGAAATGCAAGTTCAAAGACATATATACATGAATAACAAATGCAAACATGTTTTCATTTATCATCTGTTTGATTTTTATCCTTTGCTTCTAATGTGGCTTTATGTTGCCGATCTTACCCCGCTAGTCATGATTTCGAAACATTAAGTACAACCCTGAGAACAGAATGCCAAGCCACGATCTGGCCACGTGAATAAGTTGAAGTTACATCCTTCTAACAGGAAAAGTAACTTTCGTTATCATGGAATTATAACAAAACCTGCCAATTCAATATAAATGGAAAAAAAATATTATATGGAATTGAACGAAAATGAAAATTTGCTTGATAATTCAACTACGCTTGTTGGAGAACAATAAAAACACTACACTCAACAAGCCACCAATAAAACTCAACTGCCTAACCTATAACCAAAGTCTCCTTTTAATTTGTTTTTTAAAAAAAGCGCTTGACAAACTTGCCCCGCATGCCGAAGTTGCCCCGGTCTCCCCTATATTATTTTTTCAGGATGAAAAAATTTATAGTTTCATTTTTTAGTAAATGTACAGTACAATGATTAATATATTTTATTGTTATGATATTTTATTTAATTTCTTGTAAAGTTATAAACGAATTCTTTTATTTTACAAGTACTTTATTCTGTGAAAACTGTCAGTATAAATTTACACGTTAAAATTTAAAATTTCGGTTCGGCGTTCGGTTGCATTATAGTAAAAAGTATTCTAAATCAATCCAGTTATAACATAATTAAATTGATTATATACACATTTTCAAATTAGTATTTTTTAATTAATTTTTTAATTTTCAATCATTTATTTAAATTAATCGTTTTAAAAAATTAAATAATTTTAATTATTTTTTCCTATAAAGTTTCCATTCAAAATTCCATCTAAATTGTAAAATTTATGACTTAGAAAGTGATCGTGAATTTATATTTTATATAAAAATTAAAGAAAAAGGAAAAATAACGTTTAAAAAATATATAAATTCTAAATTTTAGACAAGTTCTTGGTAGACTTTGTACAAAACTACATTAATTATATTTATAGATTACAAGATTTAAAATGGTATTTCGAGTTATACAATAATTTGTGAATTGTTATTGTGATTCCACAAATTAAAATTCCTTTCATGAAAATATTTAAAATATTTCAGTTCATGATTATAATTCGTAACTGTAGTTATCTTTTCATTTTCCATTAAGAGAAGATAGATTATATAAATAATGGCGTTCGGTTGCATTATCGTCATTAAAGAATGATTATTATGAACTTTGGCAAACTCATTTAATCTTTACTGGAATAATTTCTATTAGTAATTTATAAATAATTTATACATTTGTAACGCAAGTTATGTCAAAATTTGATTATATGTAATCTCTATTGTTTGCTACATTTATGAGATACACCAAACTTTAAATAGCATTTCTAATATATTTAGATCTAGTTTACAAAGGTTTGGTGAATTGAATCTATTTTACTTATTGGTAATATTAAAATATGTAAGAAATTACATATTCCATGCATATATATGCAGAAAATAAGATCTAAAATAACATTAAGCTTCGGAATTTTGCCTATTTATATCAGTAGCCGAGTAAAAAGGATAAAGTAAAGAAATGGAAAACCAATCGAGGTAAGTAATAGTTTTCTTATTCGTTCACCTAATGGTTCCTAAACTTTTCAAACTTATTCAATTAAGAATTTTTTAACTTACAAAAACTTTTGAGGTTTAAAAGTTTATCCATGTTTCAAATAATAGAATATATTGGAATATTCATCATTTTGAGAATATAAATTGTTTTCAATCCTTAATTAATACAATAAATATCCCGTTATGACACAGACTTGTCAAAAA